GGCTCCTGAATGCTTGTGCACACAGCCACGACCCCTTGCTGACGGCCAACCTGACTCTGACTGGGTGCCAGACCGAATGCCCCATCCTTCTGACCTCTGCGCTGGTAGGACTGGCTGCTTGGAGTGTGGGGCTCTGCCCATCAGGGCTCCTCACTGCTGCTCCTTGCCTTCTGTGTCTGTCTCCATCTTGGTCCTTGTGGCTCAGTTGCAGCTTTCTGTGTGCTCTGTGGGCTGCACAGGCCGCCTCTGTTGCCTGCTGGGGCTACAACTGACCTGCACTTCAGGGCAGGGGGTAGCTGTGCCACACTGGCAGCTTCCTTCTCTGTGAGGCACCAGCTCTTGCAGGGTGTCATGGGGCAGAGGCAGGGCATTCTCTGTCCTGCCCTCGAGTACAGGTGCCTCGTGGGATTGCTCTGAACACAGCAAGGTAAATAAGGTGCTGCCTGAAGCTATACAACGTGAGCCAGAGGGTGAGCACAGGGAGCACCTGGGAAGCCCCAGCCAAGCAGCAGCGAGGGCTCTGGGGAGCTGGCGGTGGGACAGCGCAGCGCCTCATACAGGTGTTCTGGTCCTGGAGGTGGGGCCAAGCAGAGCTGCCCTGACCTGTTTCCTCCTGCTCTCTCCCCATTCAGGCCTGGTGGTCAAGCCTAGAGCCTGTACTGCAAAGTCGGTGGAGAAAACGCTTCCAGGGCCCACTGCCTCTTGAGCTGCAGAGGCTGCAGGAAGCCCAGCAGTTTGCCAGCAAGTAGGCATTGGCAGCAGGACGAGGCAGGGTTGTGACCATGGACATCCTGGGTTGCAGTTGCTAGGGTCCCTTGGAAAGGGGTGGCGAGAACCAGGCTAATAGGCTCCAGTTGGAGCAGCCGGGCAGGTCAGGAGTGTTCATGGGACAGGTTTCAGCACGTCTCATTCCAACTCGGCTTTCCCATCCCGGCCCCATCTCCTGCTCACATCTAACACTGGCCCCAGACTGCCAGCATCAGGTGTGTTAGGGTGCTGATGCTCAGTTCTCCACCCAGCAGCTCAGTCAGACCTGTGGCAGTCAGGGCAGTCCACCTCCTGAGGACAGTTCTTGAGGACCTCCAAGGACACACTGGTCCCAGTACCCAAAGGGTAGAAACCTTCACGGTCCTTGGTGACTAGTTTTGATTTCCTGATGCGTCTGGATACCTTCAGCGCCAGGGGTGCCTGAAACCTCAGCACATAGAAAGCAGGGCTCATTGCCAGGTGTGGTGGCACAGCCTGTAATCCCAGTGATGCAGGAGGCTGAGAGGAGAATCCCAAGTTCAAGTCCAGCCTCAGCAACTTGGCATGACCTTGTCTAGAAAGAACTAAAAAAGGGCTGTGGACATAGCTCAGGGGTAAAGGTCCCCTGGATAAAGGAGACTCTCCTACTGACCCTAACTCCACCAGAGATAGAGCTGGATCCCTTTGGCCAGACCCAGTACTCCTTGGAGGACAGAGGGCATTGAGTTCCCAGTGTTCTTGTGGACTCTTCCTTCAAGGCTCAGGCATTGGGTTTGGTGCACGGGCTCTGTCCCCCTTGGTGTGCTTCCACGTGGGGCTGGCATCCTGCTCTGCCAAGGCCTCATGCAAAACCCAGGTTTTGCATATGAGGACCTGAGCTCCTCTGTATCCTCCCTGGAAAGCTGTTTCTGTGCTGCAGCGATGACACATCTCTCTGTCCCAGCTTTCTGGCCCGTGGCTCGACTTCCCCTGCACCCAACCCTGCCTGGGTCTCAGCTGCAGCGTTGCACTTTGCAGTGAAAAAAGTCAAGACAGAAGGTGCCAGATGGCTGAAGCTGGACTGCGAGAGAGAGGAGGCAAGGCGGGGCTGATTTTTTTTCTAGCAGGCTCGTTTTTAATCAGGGCATTTCCCAGGGTTTGCCTAGTGGATGTGGCTTTTCCAGGGAAAATCTTGAGGTTTCCATCCCTTTATTTGGAAAGGAAACTAGCCAACGTGCAGTATTATGCCTCAAGTGCTTCTGTGGGGCTCGATTCTTTCCTTGCCACAGCCCTGCAGGCTGTCTGTTGTGAGTGCACAGCACAAGGCAGCATGACAGGACCATGCGGGTGGCTCCACGTTCTGTGCAGGGATTTTTAGACCCTGGCCTTGTGCTCCTTGGTTGCTGGGCCCTCGAGCCTCACTGCCCATTGACCCCAGCAGCAGCAACCACCTAGGCTGCGAGTGCTGTGCGGTGTGCATGGAAAGCCCTGGCTCCTCTAGAGAGGAATGGGAGGCTAGAAATTGGAACCAGTGTCAGGCAAGCTGGGGGTGAGCAGCCAACATAGGCCAACACAGCCCCAGGCGACTCTCGATTCATGTGCCACCCTGAGATCTGTAGCAGAGCCACGTGATGACAAGATCACGTGGCTCTGCTACAGATCTCACGTAGGCGTTTAAATACCCTACGTTTTCTAAAGGTCTTGTACTTTGGCTAGAAACAATTTAGTGGCTTCAGAACCAGCCTCCAGCCAGGGGGCCTGGTCCTCAAGGGTCTGGCTTGCTGCCAGGTCAGTGTCCCCTGCCACACCTGGTGTTACACTGAATCAGCAGCAGTTTTCAAGAAGCTCCAAGACTAGCCCACCTGGAGGAGCAGGTCTGCTTTGCCAGGGCTGGGACACCTGTGACCTGCGTGCCTAACCATACCTGTTGTCATCTGCAGCTACTGGTTCCCCTCTTTTTCTTTTCCCTGATGGACCTGCTCTCATCACATCTGATCCCAAACGTAAGTGACCTTCCAGCTGAGGTACCCTCTTTCCCCATGGGTCAGACAGTACACCCCGGATCTCTGGGCATCTCCAGTGTGACACTTTCTATAGGTTGTCACCAACTTACAACTGAGCAGAAAGTCCAGTCCCCTCCCCGCCCCTCACCTCATGTTCCCATGAGTGTAGCAGTGCTTTCGTGAGCCCACACGGGGGGCCATGCTCAGCCCTTCCTGGGGCTCTTCTCTGGTCACAGGACACGATTGACCCCCCGAAGGCTGTGAACACCTGTGCCGAAGTCCTTGAGTGTTTGCAGAGGCGGAGGGTGGATTGGCTGGTGCTCTTCCAATTGACGGAGACGGGTAAGCTGGCCACTGTCTGGTTTGTGACCGCCGTGTCATTTCTTCAGAAGCAGCCAATGGTTACGAATAAGCCCTTCTTGGGGCTCCCTTTCCAAGCTGTTTTCTTGCTAAATTTACAACTGGTTCAACTGTGGCAACAGAGGACTTATCAGACCACGGCTACCACGTGTAGGGTGTCTGCTCTCCTGCCTGCAGACATCACCCCGCGTGGTGTCTGCCCAATCTTCCCAGACCCAGGGGAAGGGAGTCCTCAGCGTGGCCACACAACCTCATGTTGTCCCTGCATCCAGACACACTCCCAGAGTGCACGACAGCTCTGTCCCCAAGGCATCCCCAGAGCTGACTGAGGCCCCTTGGCATTGCAGATGCGGGGCTAGGGCACCTTCTCCTCCGCCTGGCCCCAGACCAGCATACCAAGCTGCTGCCTCTTGCCTTCTACAGGTAACCACCCTGCTGGGCTGGTCCCGGGGGCCTGGTGTGGTCAGAGGGAGCAGCATTTCCCCAGGCACCCTAGACTCCCACCAGATAGGGTCACTTGCCTGCAGCTTGGTGCCACAGATGGGTGGGTGGATACACTCTCTGCACTAACCTACTTAGTCTGTGTCATGTTCTCTTTATCTCTAGTCTTCTCTCCCATTTCAAAGACGACGCCATCATTGGGGAAGAGGCCTTTCTGCGTGTTGCTGTTGACATGTACCTCAAGCTGGTCCAGCTCTTCATGGATGGGGAGACCAGGGCTGTGTCAGCTCCGGCCAGCAGGAGACCAGAGCTCCAGGGCCAGTCCTCTCCCCAGCCTGTGAGAACAGCTCCTGCCAGGGAACGGTGGGGTGAGGTGGCACACCAGTCCTGGTCCACTGTGTCCTGATCTGACTGTCCTCTCTAGGGCAACCCTGTACAACTGATAACAGAAGCTCGTCTTTTTCTGCTGCAGTTAATACCTCAGTGCCGGAAAAACGGCTCCTCAAACATGGCAGAGGTAACTCAAGACCCTCTCCTTGGGTCTGATTTCACATCTCAGCCCCAGGCTGTTGGTCCTGAGTAGTGTTTTCCTTTCTCACAGCTGCTGGCTGGTCGGGAAGACTGGGACCCTGAGGTGAGCAGCGCCCTTCTGAGCAGGCAGCGGGCGGTGCCTGACACTGACCTCTACCAGGAGCCCTGTCTCTTCTGACTGGACTCTGCTCAGTGCACCAGCCTGGCTCCTTTGTAAATAATTTATTGCAAGCATAACATGAAGCTCTTGTTGCGCTAGAAAATGGGTTACAAATCTCCTTGGCTGCAGAAGTTAGGAAAAGGAATCAGTTACTCATAATCTGTCTGGCCTCAAGTAGCTCAGTACTTGGAAAATAAGCTGCTGGTCCCAGAGTGACAGAAAGGCTACACGATACTCAAGCTCCCTTGACCAGCCAAGGGAGAGAGGCGCCCTCCAGCCTGCCTGACACATGATGATATACGTGGGGCAGGGATGCAGCATGGACTCCCAGAAGCACGCAAAGCTGTGCCCCAGTTAGAGAACGTGGACACGTCTTAGACCCCACATCACACCGGCAGAGTTCCAGCTGCTCTAAGTGCCACTGTCCCACCTGCCAACCTCAGGTAGGCTCTGGCTTCACAGCCTGGCCTTCCATGGCCCCAGAGGGGCTCGGGGACCCAGGTGGTGGCTCCGCCTCCAGGGGTAGGGCTTTGTCCTGGGTCTGTGTCAGAGGGTGCACCATAGACATATGCACATTGAGGTTGTGGGCCTTCTCAAACCGCCGGCCGCACTGGTCACAGGCAAAGTCCAGCTCTGTCTCCGCCTTGTGTTTGGTCATGTGGTACTTGAGGGATGCCCGCTGCCTGCACTGGAACCCACAGACTTCACACCTGGGGACAGAGGCAGGTGAGGGAGGCTGCACACCAGTCCCAGCCTCCAAGCACCCAGCCCACACTTACTGCAAAGGCTTGGCTCCTGAATGGCGCATCTGGTGGACAAGAAGGTGCTTCCTCTGCTTGAAGGTCTGTCCGCATTCATCACAGATGTAGTTGCGTACCTCTGGAGACCAGAAAGGGAGTGAGCATGGGTCCCCAAGACACATCAGCCCCGTGGTGTGTAACCTGGCGCAAACACTGTGTGCCCACGCCAGGGCCTTGTTCAGAGATGGGTATTTTCCTGATACAAACAAAAGTTTCTGAATGGCACAGATATACCATCTGGCTGACTGCTGGGCAGGCATGGTGGTGCAGTCTACAATTCCACTCTAGAGGCTGGGGCAGGAGGATCCCAGAATCCCAAGTTTGAGGCCAGCCTGGGCAACTTAGCAAGACCCTGTCTCAAAATGAATTAAAAGGGCTGGGGATGTAGCTTATGATAGAGCACCCCTGGGTTCAGTCCATAGCGCATGTGTGCACACACACAAACACACAGATTGTGTAGGGCAGGAAAAAACCTGGAAGTAATGTCCAGTGAAAGAAATGGCACATGAATGGGTTTCATGGTGAGTGAGCTGGCAGTCACATCACTGTGTACAGAGTTCTAGCATGGAGCTCCCAGTTGTTGGGGACAACTCCTATAGCACCTCTGTTGGGAGGGATCCACAGGCCCAGGCCAGGAGAATATGGGACAGTGAAATCCTGAGGGAACCTAGTGGGCCCTCTGCAGGAGGAGGCTGGGGGTGGGGGTGGGGGGTTCAATGTCTTTCCTGTACCTGATTTTCACATTTCTACAAGGTACACAGAACGGTAGAACGTTCTATAACAATGAACCCATGGGGGCAGGGTGCCAGATTCCTATGCTGTCAGTCTAGCAACTGCTTGGGTCCTGAAGCAGAAGGGCAGGGGCACTCACTCCTGTGTGCAGATTCACCTTGACCTCTCAAGTAGCCTTTGAGCACCCAAGGCCATCTAGTATCAAGACACAGTCTTGGTCCTCCTAAAAGGGTGCCCAGCCATGGTCATGGTCACCACCCAAACTTGGACCACACCTCTGGGGGTCTGGCCTGTGAGGGTAGGTGCATACCTGTGTGAATGAGCTTCACGTGGCGCTGCAGATAGCGGTCGATCATGAACACCTTGTTGCAGCCGGGGTGGGGGCAGGGCCTCTCTCGGACCTCCTCATGATGCTCCTTGATGTGCTTCTGTGGGAAGGTGCAGGCAAAGGATTCTGGCTGCTTGGTCTGTTCAAAGTCCCAACCCACGTCGAAGCACATCCCACTTCTTCAGCAGACAAGGCCCGGCCCTCCTGGAAGCAGGGCAGATCCAACTACTCCATGTACCCCCTCCTTCATGCGGTGCTGGAGATGGAACCAGGCCTTTTGCAGTGTCTGCCACTGAGCTACACCCAGCCCCAGCTGCAGCTTCACTCCTCTCCAGCCCACAGGCAGCGTCTCTGAGCACAGGGTTGGCTCTACACAGGTCTCCGGGACTGGGCTCACACTAACCCCTGCCACACCTCAGTCACCCCTCAGCTGTTCCTCACCTTCATCCCGTCAGCCCCACGGTACACGGCTGTGCAGCCCTGGTAAGGACACTTGTAGATGGTGGGCAGCTCCTCCCTGCAAGGCACAGCATTTGTGGAGGCGCTGCCCCGAGGAACAGGGCACCCGCACCACAGCCCCTCACCTCTCGCAGCGGAGCTGCTGTTTCCACCCAGGCTTGGGTCCCGGCTTCTTTCGAGGTTTTGGTTCTTCAGCCTTCTTGGCCTCTTTGCTTTCACTCTTCTTACCAGAGACCCTGAGAAAAAAGACACCCCAAGATTCAGTCTGACCTCCACTCTGACAGTCCTCAGTGTTCTGTGCTTCTCTTCAGACCCCAGGTCCTCCTCCCGCTCCCATGACCACGCTGCTTCTGGGCCAACTGGCTGCCCTGGAGCCCATCTCAGTAGCCACCAAAGCTGGCACCACTCTGGAGATGGTGCAGGCGCAGAAAGCAGGTGTCTCCCCACCAACTGGTGCATCTTCAGAGCCAAAGCCTGTCTGCAGATGTGGATAACAAAGCTAAGAAAATGGAGGGTCGGTCCCTTTACCACAACCTCACACCAGAAAAAAGCTCAACATCATCTCTGGACACTCCAGAGCCTAACAGGCAGGCCCAGAAAGCAAGGGCAGAGTCTAGAGGGGGCTGTATGTTCAACCTGTGGCTGGGGCTAGAACAGGAGTGGGACTGCATCCAGAAACATGGGATGGTGTTTTCAGGTTGCAGCAGGTGTCCCAAGGGCATCAGGAGAAGGTGCAGGACACTTGTTTCCTTTTGGGCCCAGATAAGGAAACCCACAGCAGGCACCATGCTCAGCAGTAAAGGGCTAAAATTCTAGCATCAGGAAAAAGGCAAGATGCCCATGTCATCACTGTTTTTGAACACACTATAGAGGTCCTATGCAGAGAGACTCAGCAAGAAGGAAAAAACGGAAAGGAAGATAAACTATTCACAGGTGACACGGCTACATATGTGGAGTACCCTTCACAAAAATTACCAACAAAGGAGCTGAAGGTGCAGCTCAGGGGTCGAGCACCAGCATGCACACGGACCTGCAGGGTACAGAACCAAGTACAAGCCCACTCCTTTCTATGAAGGAAAGCCTAACCCTGGTTGATGGCTGACGGGGACCAGTTTGGAGAAGGTCAAGGACCTGAGGGCATGGCCAGGATGCCCTTTAACAGCATCTATCGTGACTCCAAGAGCATATTTGTGTTTTCTGGCTGAGCCATCTGCTCCCTTGTAGAAAGCTGCAGGAGCACAGATGTTCTTTTTGGTTGTTCGCTGGTCGTATTTTTATTATTTTGTCTTTGTTTTGACTTTAAGTGGGTTGGCCAGGCCCCCTTGCTGGTGTTGGAAGCTTTAAAGCTGTATTTTGGGGGTGTATGGAGAGGTTGGTTATCAAAAGCTGTTTTCAGCCCTTCCTGGGGGAAAGAGGAGTATTATAGCATGGCCATCTGTACCAGTTTCTTTCGGTATGGAACCATCTTTAGAAACTGAACCTAAAGCAACTGAGGTGCAGAGTGTGGAAAGAGATGGGAGGAAGATCTGACCCTTTTGCTGGAGGCCCCCACAGCCTCTTTCAGCCTGGCTGGCTGTTGGACTCCCTGTTTTCTGCTGAGCCTCCTCTCAGAGTCATCTTCAATAAGGGTCAGCAAGGTAGCTAGAAAGGTGGGAGACTGAATTTTTTTAAAATATTTATTTTTTAGATGTAATTGGACACAATGCCTTTATTTTATTTATTTACTTGTATATGATACTGAGGATCAAACCCAGGGCCTCCACATTCTAGGCAAGCGCTCTACTGCTGAGCTACAACCCCAGCCCTAAATTTGCCCTGTGAAATAAGGAAGTTGAAAACCAAAGAAATAAAATGATGTGATACCAAAAACAAAAAAACTCAAACACGCCTGTGATCCTATGATTCCCAGCAACTCAGGAGGCTGAGGCAAGAGGGTACAAGTTCAAGACCAGCCACTACAACTTAGTGAGGCCCTGTCTCAAAATAAAAATTTAAAAAGGCTAGAGGTTTAGCAGAGCACCCCTGGGTTCAACCCCAGAATCTGAAAGAAAAGTTAAATAAAATAACTAGGAACTAAATTAACCAAAGGCAAAATACTTGCATATTAAAAATCCACCAGAGCTGCTATAGCCAGAGACCACACACGTGGAAAGAGCCAATCATCTCCCCCCAGCACAGAGCTCCACTGCTGGGGTATAGCTCATGGTAGAGAGCTTTGCCAAGCATGGGTAAACCCCAGGTCTAATCCCAAGTTCTGCAAAATAAAAATGAAAAAAAGAGATTTTTTTTTTTTTGAGAAGTGGAGAAACCCATCTAAAATTTAACATGGAACTTTAAGGAATACTAAATAGCCAAGATTGATTCAAAAATAAGTTGGCAGGGACTGGAGATGTGGCTCAAGCGGTAGCGTGCTCGCCTGGCTTGCGTGCGGCCTGGGTTCGATCCTCAGCACCACATACAAACAAAGATGTTGTGTCCGCCGAAAACTAAAAAATAAATATTAAAATTTTCTCTCTCTCTCTTTAAAAAAAAAAAAAAAGAAATTACACTTGATGCATGACTGTGATCCCAGCTATTTGGAAGGCTGAGGCAGGATGCAGGAGGATCACAAGTTCAAGGCCAGCCTCAGCAACTAAGCATGGCACTAACAACTTAGCTAGACTCTGTCTCAAAATGAAAAATAAGATTAAAAGGCTGGGGGATGTGGCTCGGTGATTAAGCACACCTGGGTTCAATCCCCAGTACCAAACAAAATAAACAAACAAACAAAAAGCTTCCACAGATAGGCAGTAAACAAGTTGGCAGACAAAACTGTTACTGAATACAGTTACATACATGCCAATCAAATGGTCTGGAACAGGGAACCTCACACAGGACCTCCTGATTTTTCAACAAGGTGCCAGCACCGTTCAGTGGGCAGAGAATACCTCTGCAACACATGGTGTCATACACTAAGATCAACTCAAGTGGATCAGGACCTAATCTAAGAGTAAAACAGCATCAGTAAATCATAAAAAACTTTCATTTGGCAGTAGCTCCCTAAATATGACACCAAAAACAGAGACAACCAAACCGCCAAATTAGACTTTGTCAAGTTTTAAATGTTGAATATTGATAGGTACTACCAAGATAAAAGAGAAGACAGGAGAAAGTGTTTGCAGACCACCCATCTGGTAAGGATTTGATATCCAAAATACATGAAGAACTAAACAGCAAACATAGTTTAAAAATGGGCAAAATCTGCCTGTTATCCCAGAGGCTTGGGCAGTTAAGGGAAGAGGATCACAGGTTCAAGGCCAGCCTCAGCAACTTGGTGAGACTCTGTCTCAAAATAAAAAAGGGCTGGGAATATGATGACTCGGTGGTTAAGTGCCCCTGGGTTCAATCCTCAGTAAGAGCCCCCAAAAGATTTCTCCAAAGACAACTTGCAAATGGCAACAATCCTGGAGTCATACCAGGCAACTGCCTCCACAAGGAAGAGAAGCCATTTCACACCATCTGCACAATGAACAAACCCAGGAAAGCCCAGGGTGGCAAGGATGACTGCCATACAGACTGAAGGGGTGCATCCCCCATAGAAAACAAGGGCGACTCCTCAGAGTTACACATGAAGCACCAAACAAGGCCCAATTCCACTGTTAAGTGTACACCCCAAAGGGCCAAAGGCAGGAACTCGATGAGTGTTACAACGTCCTTGACAACAGCTGAAAGGTCAGCACAACCCCACACAAAACCCACCAGCCAGTGTGTCCCTGCGGTGAGTGCAGCTCAGCCACACAGCATTGGGGGCAAGAAGGGGTGGGGCTCCCGGCAGGGAGCGGCAAAGGCAGTGCTCAGCAGGTAGTTTCTAGTCATGATCATCATGAGCCACTCACTGTGCCTGCACCTGGTACTGCTGGACTGTACACGTAAAAGAGGTTTAAATAAGTGTACTAAGGGAGCCTTTTTGCTGATGTGCAGGCTGCTCCATCTCCCTGATAACTGTCCAGTGTCCCCTCCTGGCCAGCCCCATTGCTGGGCAGGGTGACCCCCTCCTGTCAGTGACAGGCCATCTCCTCCCACACCAGACCACTCACTTCTGAAGCTCACTAATAAATGAACATCCCACCTCCCCTTTCTCAGCTGTTCCATCCCCTCAGGCCAGGTCCTGGCTTTGACCTCTGGGTAGGACCTTTGTGCTCTGACCCATCTCCAGGCTGAGGACCCCGATGGCCAGGACTGTCTGGAGTCCAAGTGGAGGTGACCGAAGAGGAACACTTGTGAAGAAGGCACAGGGCCTGGGCCAAGGCGGGCTCAAGGCCTGATCTTTGCAGGTTCTCAGCTGGAGCTCACATGTTACCACCTGAGGAGTCACGTGGCCTCCAGGTCCTGCACATACATCATGGTTAGCAGACGACCAGGTCCATGTCCTGTTCTCATCTCCTACAGTGGTTTCCATCTAAATAGCCCGAATTACTAGAGGCCTTAGGATATTATCACGTCCCAATCCAAAGTGTGTGTCTGTGTACCTGGGAGTCAGCAGCAAGGGCCCCAGCAGAGCACTTCCCCTCCCAGACCTGTCTGGAAAGGAGACCCACCTGTCCCTCTTGGCCCACGGCCCTGCCACACCAGTGCCCAGCAAACTCCAGGTGTGTGCCAAGACTCAGCCTATCGAGGCCACCATACAGGAAGCAGGGCCTCCTCATGGCAGCTCTAGGCTGCACCCCAGCCATGCTTCCTGGCCCCAGTCAGCTGTGCCTGCTCTAGCCTAGCCAAGCACTTCAGGTTGGTCAAGTGCTGATTCTGACTGTCCTCCTACTTTCCTCTCTTTCTCCTCCCATGAATGTCAGAACTTTCTTGAGAAAAAGGAAGCCAAGTTTATGTCTCTTATAGGATTTTTCCTGGCTGACTGTGTGGCATTCAGAGCTGCTTGCTCTCTGGGCAATGACTGGGTCAGGCATCAGCTGGCTGCTAAGTGCTGTGGGATGCCTAGCTACAAAACAGTACCAGGGCCTGGCACAGGGTGCATGCCCATAATCCCAGTGACTCAGGAAGCTGAGGCAGGAGGATCACAGTAGAAGGCCAGCCTTGGCAAGGCCCTAAGCAACTTAGAACTTATCTCAAAATAAAAAAATAGAAGAGGTGGGCTGGGGATGTGGCTCAAGCGGTAGCGCGCTCGCCTGGCATGCGTGCGGCCCGGGTTCGATCCTCAACACCACATACAAACAAAGATGTTGTGTCCGCCAAATACTAAAAAATAAATATTAAAAAAAAAAAAAGTTATTATTAAAAAAAAAAAAAATAGAAGAGGTGTGATTCAGTGGTTGACCCCCGGATTCCATCCCCAGTAAAAAACAAAAAAACACTACACTTCAGTGCCAGAGTCAAAGTTGGGAGTGGTCACCAAGCTGGGTCCCTGGGCCTCAGAAGTAGGACCCAGGGAGCAGGAAGCATTGAGATGGGTATCCTGGTGGCATGCACTTAAGGAACAGTGCTGGGTTTTATCGTAGCCCCAACCAGCAGCCACAGGGACCCTCCTTCCACAGATTCATCTGCCTGTCTGGCTCTTCAAACCAGCCTACTGGTCACTCGGAAACCACATCTGCTGGGCTAGAGAGATGGGGCCAGGGGAGCAACAGAAGCCTGGCTCTCTCACGTGCAGACTTGGGCTTACCCACCACTCACCACCCACCAGCCCCCATGCCGGCAGCAGGGCTGCACCCTTACTTCTTCTCTGGGTAAGGCTCAAAGGACTCGTCGGAGGACTGTGTACTCTGCTGCTTGTCATTTTCATCCTCACTCAGGAAGTCTCTAGGAGAGAGGATACAGCCTTCAGCAAAGTCCCCTATGGGCCATCCACAGACCCCAGGCCTATCTCCAGACACCCAGAGACCCCATGGCCCACTTCAGTTCTCCTGAAAACGACTAAAAATCTACAGCCGTCTCCAACACCGTTTCCTACAGGAAGGGCAAGCCAGGGTCACTGAGCTCGGGCAGCAGTCCCCACGAGTCATATTCTCCAGTGCCAGAACCCCAGACTGAAGAAGGCTTCTTTACTGGCCCTTGAGGGGTAGACTCAGAAGGTGGGCTGCATGGTGGGTGGCTTCACCACTGTACCTATGTAGCTGACAGATTTGCTCTCAGCCATTCCCAAGTTCAGAGGTTAGATCTGTGACCTTCACCTTAAAACACAAATCACTGTTTGGTCTGTTGGTCAGCAAATAGCCAGGCTAAAAAGCCCATCATGTTCCCCCAGGCTGCCACCCGCATATATGGAAGAAGGCCTGTGGCCATCCAGCAGCTGAGCCTGAGCCACATCCAGTCTCCTCACTGGAGGAGAACCAAAAACTGGCCGTCCTTCCCCATATGGACTACATGCATCTGGGCCCCCACCAAGGCCATGGGGCAGGATGGCAGGGGGTGAGCTTCAGCCCAGAGCTGAGAGACCCTGACAGCACTCCTTCCAAGGGAGGCCCACAAGCCCAACCTGAGCAATGCCTTCTCAAGCCTCAACCCCATCACAGAGGGCAGTGCGTGGCACCTGCTGTTCTAGTGGCACCTGGGTTAGCAGAAAGCTAAAGCTTTTAAGAAGAAAACAGCCAGGTGGCGGTTTAACCAAGGACATTCCCCACTGCCCTGGGCTAGGAACTGCCCTAGCTCCTGGGAAGCTGTGCTGGGTTCAGGGGCCTCTGGAACCCAGGAGGTCCCCAGTCAGAATCAAGACACCTTGGAAGCTGCCCTGGCCTCGCCTCTCCTCCCAACCCTGGAGGCAGGGAGTGCCCACCAGGCATGGGCAACAGCCCCTCAGGTGGCTGAGTCTGGTTTTCGAAGGAGAAATGTTAGGCTATTTAAACCCACTCTTCTCTCACCCCTCAGAAAGGTCACTGAACTCGTCTTTTACCCGATCATCCGAGGCTGAAGACGGAACCTGCTTCTCACCCAATTGCCCTGGGAAGTGAAGAACAGGCTCCTGTTACCAACGCAGCAGAGGCTCTCACGCGGAGGCAGTGTGCTGCAGCTGCCTACGCAGAGCCTGGGGTCCTCGGGCCTCAGCCCCCTTCTAGCCTAGCCCAACCCCATGTCCAGAGATGTAGGAACCTCCCAGATGGTTGTCAGTAAGCCTGACTCCTCCTCCCAGGCTCAGGCCCTTAATCCAGGTGGCTGCCCCACAGTTGGAATTTTGGGGACATTTCTAAGAATATTGGTTTTCAGGTTTTGCTTTGATGGGTCTTGCTGTGCTGCCCAGGTAGGTCTCAAACTCCCAAGCTCAGACGATTCTCCCATCTCGGCCTTCTGAGTAGCTGGGACTACAGATGCCACTACACCTGTGCACAGTTCACAAAATCAAGCACTCTGAAATGCCTGTGACACTCAGCTCTGCCCTCATAGCCCTTCCAGGGAGCTGTGCTGTCCCATCCACATGTCTCTAGCTGAACCACCTGGGTGGTCGTGTTTCTTTAGAGGCCCACTGAGGACCTGCACATAGGAGCCAGCTGAGTGCCCACAGGTGAGAGGTGTACAGGTACCCATAGAAAACCAGAGGTAGACAGGAAGCTGACACTGGCCCTCCCAACACAATGTGTAGGGGCAGCTGCACCACACACAAGTGGGGTCTGGGCCCCACAGAAGGACTGCTCCCCTCAGCCAGTCAGCAGCAGAGGCTGCCACACACCAGGGAGTCACAGGCAGCTGGCCCAAAGCAGAGGCTTCTCTTCCCCCACATCCCATATACAAGGGCCCCATTATCCTCCTTTCCCTTGGTGCCCTCTGCCCTGAGCACTGACTTGGAGAAAGACTGGACAACAGAGGAGAAACTTCACGATAACTGCTAGAGCAAAGCCTACTTGGGAAGGGACGGAAAGCCCAAACAGGTGGGTGCCCACCTGCTCCCAGGAAGAAGCATGGAGGCTGGCTCCACATCTTTTCCTGTCACCTCCATTTCCCCGCACCACAACCAACACCCAGGATGGTGGAGAAGTTTGCTCTCAGCTGAAGACCCTGCCTCACTAGGGAATACAAAATCCTAGCCTAGCACAGGCTACAGGTGCCTCCTACCTGGGGCCTCGCAGGGGGGAAAGCTGGGCTGTGGTGGGGGGCCTGGCCCAGGCCCCACAGGGCTGCCATCTGAGGGAGGTGAGGATGTATCCATGCTGGGCGGCATCTTGGTCTCAGACCCAACTGTGGTCCCTCTGCCCTGGGAGAGCTGAAGGGCAACCCCAGGGGGGCTGGATGCCTGGTTCTGGGTGAGCCGTGGGGCTGTCTCCTGGTCCCAGGCCCACTTGACTGCCAGTGCACTGTCCAGCAAGAGGGTTCTGCAGCGGGAGTCGGTGTCCATGGTGTAGTCGTGGCCCTGATCGCAGCACCACACAGCCTGGATGATGCCGCAGTACTCGGAGGACAGTGTCCTCTGAAGGCTGGGCAGGGCCCTGCAGCTGGCCGCATGTCCGTGCACCCACCCCACCAAGCCGTGCAGGCACCGGGGGCTCGAGGTGATCAGATCCACTGAGGAGAGTCAATAGAGATGTCAGCCCCATACAGGCCAACTCCCAGCCCAAATGAAAGCCCACCCTGATATCAGGGGCAGACTTACCCAGACGAGCTCCTTCCTCTGCCACTGTGGGGGGCTGAGCACCAACCCTGCAGAGATCAGTGTGGCCATAAGCAGATGCTCCCTCTGTAGGAGCCTCAGATCTCTCAAACCTTTCCAGCTGCCTCCCGCTGAAAACCCTCTGCTGGGAAACCTGTTCCTTCCCAGGGCTGCCCCTTGCCCTTAGAACCTGGGAAAGCTGAAGTCTGGGCAGAGCTCTGCAGCTTTTCTGTGGGTCCCATGGGTGCCCGAAGTACCAGGGCCTGCTTACACTGGCTTCTGCAGAGCCAGGCACTGCCTACCCACCCCACTGCAAAGGTTCCCACCTCGGTACTCCCTGACCCTAAACACCACCCAGCACCCCGGGCACTTCCTGTGACATGCTGTATCCCTGAACATCCCCTAAATGACTAAACAAAAGCCTACTATGAGGGCTGGAGTTGTGGCTCAGCAGTAGACCACTCGCCTGGCATGTGCGAGCCCCTGGGTTCCATCCTCAGCACCACATTAAAAATAAATAAAATAAAGGTATTGGGTCCAACTACAACTAAAAAACTTAATATTAAAAAAAAAAAAGCCTACTATGAGGCAACTGAGCCTGGTTTTAGCTCAGTGGTAGAGCACCTGCCTAGCATGTGGATGAAACCCTAGATTGATGCCCACTACTGAAAAAGGGTAGGGGAGCCTACTTTGCACAAGGTTTCCGATGACCTGTCGGGGTGGCGTTGACTCTCTGCAGAAAGGACCTGAGGAGGCTGTGGCACTGGTAGAACTGGGTGTGGCAGTTCTTGCAGATAAACTGAGACAAGGCTGGGTCCTGGTGCACAGCCACACCCAGCAGACGCTGGAAGTCCCTGATGAAGACACGCTCCCCTGGGGACGGTCTCTCAGAGCTCTCCCCAGGTGCCCTGTCAGAGATGCTTCGGAGACTCCGTGAGGAGAACTTCCCGTGGCAGAGGCGACAATGCCCCATGGCAAGAGCCCGGCCTGTTCCTGGACAAAGCAATGTCAGCAGTCAGCAGGAAGCCTGGCAGCTGTGCACGGACACAGGAGAAGCTCTGAGGAATCTGAGCCTGGGGGGAAGTGCCCTCTGGGGCCTTGAGAGGCAGGCCTCAGGCTGGATGTGTGAGGCCCTCAGGCCTCAGGCACTGGGCTCAGCGGGACATCCAGCCTTTTGGAAGATCACTGGTTCAACAATTCCAAATGCCTCCACAAGGGTGGAACTTCATTCCTGCTCTAGAAATGAAGGAGCTGTGCCCACACCATCCATCCCCATGTCTCCTGCCTGCCAAACGAGGGTGTCACCTCATTTCCTGCCCCCAGTGATTAAACAAGGGGGCACAGAAAGGCCTTCTCAGAAGGGCAAAGTTATTACACAGGCCAAGTACACTGCTGCAGTGAGCCGACGCAGCTGCAGCCAGGGGGGTCAAGGAGTCACAATGAAGTGCTTCTACCACACCTTCTGGATGAGCTTTCACAACAGGAACCTGAGGCTCAGGGTGGTTAAGGTATCTAAAAGGTGCACAGAACAAAGGGTCAGCAGGTCCTGGAGCAGTGGTGCACACCTGTAATCCCAGTGGCTCGGGAGGCTGAGGCAGGCGGATCCCAAGTTCAAGGGCAGCCTCAAAAACTCAGCAAGACCCCCGTCTCAAAAAGCAAAAGGAACTGGGGATGTGGCTCAGTGGTACAGCGCCCCTGGGTTCAATCCCAGCACCATGAAGGAGCAGGAACGAAGGCCGGAGCTGTCGGACGTCAAGACCTGAGCGCTGAACACCTAGCAGCCTAGACGGTGGCCGGCCTGCCGAAAACCACCGCCACGCGAGCCCACAGACGGCCGGGCGCGTCCCGCGGGCCCGAGGCCCTCTGCGCTTCACATCACCGCGCCAAGGGCCGGGAGTGGCCCGCTACCCCGGCCCGCTTCGCCCACGCGGCCCGACCCACCTGCCTCGTCCGCTCCGTCTTCGCCCGCGTCCGCGCAGGCCCGAGCCGGGGCCCAGCTGAGACGCGCCGCCGCCAAGGCCGCCGCCCTGTCCACGCCTGGTGCGCTGCTGCGCGAGGGTCGGCCCCGGGTTCGGCCGCCAAGGCCGCCGCCCGAGGCCCCGCGCGGCCGCGCCGCCCCCGGCGACAGGAAGCGGCCGAGCCGGTCCCGCTTCATGGCGGCGGCCGCCAGTACAGCCGGGCCGAGGTATTCGGGGCGCCTCGGGCGGACTCGGCTCAGCTCGACTGTGCTCGCTCGGCTCCGCTCGACCCCTCTCGGGCCTGCTCGGCTCCGCTCGGGCCCTCTCGGCTCGACAGACGGCCCGCTCGGCCCCGCTCGGCTCGACCCCCTCGTTCTGCGCGGCTCGGCTCGGCTCGGCGGGGTTCGCCCTCACTCTGCTTGCAAAGTTCCGCTCGGCCCCGCTAGAACTTACGCGCTCGGTTCCGCTCGGTTCCGCGCGATTCCGCTCCGCCCCACTTGTCTGCGTGCAGAATTCAGCTCGACCCAGCCGTTGGGCGTCACCGGACCCGACACCGGCGAGGCAGGGAACGCGTCCTATCAGGCCGAGGGCCACACTGCCCGCCGCGGCCGCCCGCGGGTCTGGCCTCAGGGACGAAAGTCGCCTAGAACTCGTGACAAGTCCGCGACGGGGAGGCGCGCTGGTCCTCCCGCCCTCACCTCGGGCGGCCGAGGGGCCGATCGGCCGCAGACGTGGAGGCGCGGGTTGTAGCTCTTAAGCGCTCTCGGCAACCCCGCGAGGAGGCTGCCTCCACCAATCTCCTGGTGCAGACGGGGAGAGGGCCCGCCCCAGACCACTGACAGGACCCGCCCCCCGCGCCCCGGCGCCCGGCTCCCTCCACCGGCGGGGCGAAGGCTTACTAAGCGGGGCGGGAGGGGGGCAGCCGGAAGTACGCCGCGCCCCTTCCGTTGGTCCGCTACTCGGGTGGCTCCCGCGCCCGCGCGTATTGCGTTCCGGCCGGCGGCCGCCCGTCCGGCCCCTCGGCCGCTGCCGCCGCCGCTGTCGCTGCCGCCTTCCCCGCCCGGCGTCATGGCCGCTGCGGCCGGGGACGGTGCGGCGAGGCCTCTACAAAACGCCATGAAACTGGCCAACGGGGCCATCGAGCTGGACGCCGGCAACCGGCCCCGGGTGAGACTGAACGGGGCGCCGCGGCGGCCGGTGGGCGAGGGTGGGCGGCGGCCGGGCGCGCTCCGGCTGGCGGCTGGCTGCTGGCTGTGGGCGCGCGGTGGACTCGGGCAGCGCGGCGCGCGCCGGGCAGAGCTCCGTCTGGCCAGCGAGTCCGAACCCGAGCCCCGGTGGGTGCGAAGCCGCCGAGCGTACGGGACTGACAGATGCGCGTGTGGCTCCGGGGCCAGCGGACCCAGTCCGGGACGGAGCCCGAGGGCCTCCCCGGCTCTGGGGATGCGGAGGTGCAGTAGCCTTCAGAGGCCGCGGGAAGGAAATGCGGGGCGCGGGGTGACTTGCCCCTGACAATGGTTGCCACCTCGTGGGCGGCGACCAGGCAGACCAGCCTGTGGAGCCACACTGGCTGCCCAAGGAGGGCATCCTGGTTCCCCGAGTTGGTTTTCTGGGGCAAGAGTCAGAAATCTGCTGGAATCCATTTTGTCCTTGTCTCTGTAGTGCAGACTGAATCTAGGGTGGATGATTTGACAACTGGTTTAGAAGAAAACAAGCACTCTGTGCTGTGGTTCCCCGCTCCGGGGCTGTCAGAGCCGTGGTCAGAGCAGTCGCACCCTAAAAACGCCGCATTCAGCCGTTCCAGCTCCTGGGCGGGGATTTATTCTGTGATTCTGGGAAAAAGGGTTTTCCTGAACCTAAGCCATAAAGTGAGTCTGGGACTTGCAGCCTCATTCCCTCCTTAACCTCTGAGGACGCATTTTCCTTAAACGACAGAATGAATGGTTGTGTTGCACAGGAAGGAAACTTGTTGCACAGAGTGAAAAAGAGCATCAGCTGCTGAAGCTGCTTCCCCAGGCCACTGAAGTAGTCACTGCTTTTCTGTGCCTGAGAGGACAGTGAGAGACAGCTTGATGCCCAGGTGGTCCCTGCTTTCACTGCCCAGTGCAGATGTTGTAGGAATAAGCCCTCTGGCATCCGTCTCAGGCATCTTTTCCTTCCTGTCTGGACAGTGGGGATGCTGTCTGCCCCAGTGAGTCACCACAGGCTAGGGGTCTCTCTCAGGGATAGCAGGTACTGCTGCTTCTGTTCCCTGAGGCTGTCACCCCCTCTAGTGGCCTGACCCCTGCCATTTCTCCCCTCGGGAACGCAGGAGGCATACACGGAATACCTGAGGAGCATCCACTACATCTCCCAGGTGCTACTGGAGGATGCTGGAGCTCATCAAGGTACAGCTCAGCCTTGCGTCTTTCATAAAGGCACGCTGTGAGATCTTAGCTCTTGATGCTTTCCAGGCCTGAGGTCTCTGTGTCCTTCTAGCCTGATCATTAGCAGAGAGTGGGTCAAGAGCTTGAACTGTGAAAGTGTGGCATGGTGGCATCCAGGGGCAATGCTATGGGCAAAGGGATGGATTCTCAGGAGGACAAGGCACTGACCAAGGCAGAGAGGAGAAGGCAGGACATAGGTGGGGGTGTTCTTAAGATAAGGACATGCAAAGTCCCTGAGAAGGGAATGGATGTGGGCAGGGCTCTGTGTGCCTGTGTGAGCTGTGAAAGAGCTCACAGAGGCTTTGAGCTTTGTGAGAGAGGCCTGCACAGGAACAAAGAGTGAAACAAGTTCTGCAGAGCGGACAGCAGGAGCTGGACTACTGGAGGCAGGAGCAGTGAAAGGTTTGGCATGTACCTTGCAGTGGGATTGACCAGACTTGTTATGGGAAGGTGGTGCCAAGGGCAGGAGGAGCTCAGGTGGATGGTAGGGCAAAGAAGATTTGTGAGGGAGAAAGAGAGAATTCCACCATGAACACATTAAGTCTGAAAGCAAGCAGCCCAGTGGATATAGGGCTCAGTCAGGGAAAATCAGTGGTCACCCCAGTTCCCCAGAGAGGGAAGGAGCTCAGCTGAGTGCCAGAGGGCACTCCAGGATTGAGGCATTGGGAAGAGATATCATCAAGGGAGGGTAACATCCAAGAAGCAGAGAGACCTGAGCAGCCTGCCGACTTTGGCAAGTTGGGCATGGGTCAGGGCGGTTTCAGCAGAGCTGGGAATGAGAAGAAAATAGTCTTAGAGGTTCTGTTCTAAGGGGAGCACAGCAGGAGGTCCAGGAGCTAGGGCTGATGGTGTCCAGGGCAGAGGGGGTGTCTGCTTAGGAATGGTTCTGTAGAAGGAAGCTCTGGGTAGGGGACGGGGTGCGAGGTGGTGCTTGGGGCCAACCTGCAGGAAGGCAGTTCTGGGAGCATGTGCAGCAGGTGGGAGATGCCCAAGGAGTCCCTCTGCACATCCTGTCTCTGTGCAGTAGCCACAGAGGCTGCATGGCCCTCACCCCAGATGTGCCGTATTTGTGGATGAGGCCTCCCAGTGAGGAGTGAAAGTCCAGCAGGGCTCTGACATTCAGAGTCTGGTGAGAGGCCAAGGGTTAGTCTGATGCTGGACTGGCCAGCCACAGGAGTGGGCATGGCCATGAGCCAAGTAGACCAGCCGGTGGAGCCACACTGGCTGCCAGAGGTGGGGGTCAGAGGTGAGGATGGGCTTGCCTGTTCTTAGCAAGCTTCTGATTCTGACTACTAGAGCTGAGTACAGCCAGCCTCTGTGCCTCCCCAGATGCTGATGAGACTGTGCCCCCCGACACCTCAAAGATGCTGAAGCTAGCTGGGCAGTGTCTGGAGCGGGCCCAGTCAACAGCTGCCAAGCTTGGTGGGTACCCAAAGAAGGAAGTTCTCCTGAAGTATCCTCAGTCTGCATCTGTTTTGTGCAGTGGGCCCCCACTGCTGATCCTGGCTTTGTATGTTTGCAGGAAAAGTGCGCCTGAAGCCAGCCATGCCTGCGGCTGCTTCAGTCCCCTCACCTGCCAGTCGACACCGACGGGTGTGTTCCGATGAAGGAGGGAAGCTTTCTCCTTTTCTGCCACCTGAGATCTTCCAGAAGCTCCAGGTGGTAGAATCACAAAGCTCTAAGAAGTAAGATGGAGGGAGGTGCACTGAGGTTGAGGACTGGGTTTGGAGGCCAAGCACAGCGAGCCCACCATGGGGAATCAGTTGAAATGGGTCTAGAGTAGAAACGTTTTTGCATGCTAGGAGCAGATGCAAGTCCTTTTAGGAAGAAACGGCCTTCATCTTTCATGAGTTCTACGGCCCACAGCCAGAGAGAGCCAAGCACAGAGGAAGCAAACAGCAAGAGCAGACCTGAACAGTGTCCTCAGGCAGTGCTCTCAGGCAGTGCTCTCAGGCAGTGCTCTCAGGTAGTGCTCTCAGGCCCCGCATCTGAAAGCGCTGCCAGGAACAAGAACTGTACAGGCAGGCCAGGCCCAGGAAGAGCCAGGCAGAAAGGAGACCGGACACACGACCCCGAAGTCGCTTTAAAGACCAGCTGTGGCCCAGTGTGAGGCCCTGGGGGGTCCATCCTCAGCACCAAGTGAAATAAGTAAAATAAAGGTTCATCAACAACTAAAAATTAAACTAGTTGGGAACAAGAATAAATTATATTCTCTGGTGGGAATCCACACAAAATCAATTGAATGAGTCTTCAGTGGTGCAGACAGCTGGAGAGAAGCCTGGGATACAATCAAGAAGGTGTCACAGACTCAAGAGAAATGGAAGGCCAAACATGTGTTTTGGAGTTCTAGAAAGGAAAGGAAGGGGGCCATTATTTGAAGATATAACAGCCCAGTGTGGTGGTGCACACCTGTAATTCCAACAGCTCAGGAGCTGAGGTAGGAAGATTGCAGGTTCAAGGCCAGCCTCAGCAACTGAGTGAGACCCTGTCTCAACAAACAAACATGAGCTGGGTTGTAGCTCAGTGGTGGAGCGCTTACCTAGCACACATGAGCACTGGGTTAGATCCTCAGCACCACACAAAAATAAATAAAATAAAAGTATCATGCTTATCTACGACTAAAAGATATATTTAAAAAATGGCTGGGGATATAGTTCAGTTGTAAAATGCCCCTGGATTCAATCTCCAGTACAAAAAAAAAAAAAAAAAAAAGGTAGATACAAATGACAGAGAACTTTATAGAACTAATGAAAGATACCAAGATACAGATACAGGAAGCCCAGTGAACCCTCTCTGGGACAAGCAGAACCCACTCCTCCTGCCCACTGCTCCTGGCTCCCTCATGTCTGCACATACATCTCCGGGGCAGAAGAATGCAGGGGCAGGGAGGTTCCAGTGGTGTCTTAGACTTAACTCACAAGGGCACTTCTAGAACTGACTCCACCACAACACCAGAGTCACATCCTTGTAGGGTCCTGTTAGGACTTCCCGGTGGACTCTCCCTCCTTGGTCTTGCCCCTTCACGTGCTACCCTCCACCACCAAGAGGAGGGAGGTGGGGGAGGGCTGCGGTCAGTTGTTACCGGCACCTTGACTCTGCTGCCCCATCCCAGAGTAGACATGGTTCTCCTTTTTTGCAGACTGCAAACAAATCTGTTTGGTATGTACATTGTGCTTTTCAAGAGTTCCAAGTTGTTTCCATAGATACATAACTAGTTTTCATTCAAGTTCAAATGTCCAGCCAAAATTCCTGGCAATATGAAGTCTTGTGTTTCGGTGGCAGATTAGGAGGGAAGGCATGTCTAGTTTACCCAGAACACCCCTTGCATCTCCTTCAGCCCTTGCCACCATGACTTGGTCTCAGGAGGGATGTAAGGGAGGTGCTTGAGTCACCAGGTACTCAGTCCTGGGGTCTGGACAGCAGCGTGCACCATTTCCAGGGAGCTGACGCCCCTGGAGGAAGCTTCCCTGCAGAACCAGAAGCTGAAGGCTACTT